GGCCCTCAGAGAAAAAGAAGAAAAAAACTTCCTGCGTCTTTGCTGAGCAATGTACGACTTATTGCCTTTGTCGCCTCGGGCAGCGAGTTGAGGATTCTTTAAGGGTAGTGGGGAATCTGGGTTGTTGTTTTTTCCCCCCTCTCCACCTGCGCCTTAAAAGGTTGCTGGATCGAGACCGGAAGACGCTCGCTTGAGGGAGGGGTGGTGCTCTGCTCGAGTCCGGCCTCCAGGGTGGGGTAAGGCGAGGTAAGAGGAGGCGGCACGTCCTGTCCGGCTTCACCTTCCTTCGAAGCAGGTCGTGCCGCGTTCGCTTTTGCGCGCGCCTGGGGTTCTCTCCATGATACAGGTACGGCGCACGTGGGGATCCGGGGGCGGACGCGCGTCCTGCCCCCCTTCCTTGCCATTTGCCCTGCAATTTGTAGCGCCTTTCTTCTGTTTTAGTTTTCCGCATCTCGTTCTCGTGTTGCAACAAGTTGCGGCTGGATTTCCGACGTGGCACGTGTGTGGTGAGGACCGGCGAAAATGCTGGCTTCTCGCAAGTAGTCCCGTGCCCGGGGGGATGTTTTCCGCGTGGCAGCCCTACTATTAAGACAGAAGAGAAAGCAGGGGTGCTTCCTTCTATCTAGAGACGCATCTTTCTATCTCCCAGCCGCTTAACCAAGGTTGCCAACTGACCAGAAGAATCGGAACGCTCCGCTTTTCTGCTCGTAAGCAGAGTCGCCAGCCGCCGAGCATCTTTCCTTCTCCGTCATGAAAATACTTGATCGAGCGGCCGTTAATGGCAGTGGTGCAGAGATTGGTTGGAAAGTTGGCAACCCTAAGATTCCCTTCCCTTTTTCTCCATCTCTTGGCACACCAAGGGTGCAAAGAGATTTTAAATTTGCTAGACACACTTTGCCCTGGCAATTCTGATGGGTTTTTAACGCTTATCAAACTGCCCTGCCCTTCCTTTCTTAATCCCACTTTTGCAAAATTCTATGCATATAGCAACTCTGAAATTGGAGTGGTGGTGCAGCCATGGGGGGGGGGGGGGGGCAGAGAAAACCTGTGGTGGGGCCCACATGATTCTAGAAACACCCCCCCCCGCCCTGTTACTCCTATTTCTTCCTCCAAGCCCCACCCCCTGCTGCTAATTTGGGGAGATACTCTGGTACATCCCAACCGTGACAACATTCACACAGGGGTGGGGAGTCTGCATCTTTCCTCGTTTTATAGGCATACCTGGAAATTCTCTATCGAAATCAGGATAACAGTTACTGGAAAGACAGAGGGAATGAAAGATACATGAATTAAAAATAGAAAAAACACTAACCTGGAAATTATCCAGCTGGAAATACACGAAACCATTTCCTGTCACAGGAAATTCATTTTGGGCATGTCATTTCAAGGAACTATGATAGCTAAGCTCCTATATGTCAAAGATGATTCAAAAAGCACCAGTGTTTCGGGGGATTCCCACTCTTCTATTCTCAATACCTCATTCAATTTCATTTGCAAGGGAATTCAAATCCTTTTTATTTTCTCTATGCTAGACTGCTGAAGAAAGGGAAAGCTAGAGTTTGTTCTAAAATCTTGGAAGCAGGCACCTTTGAAAAATTCACAGATATCAAAAAATGAGTCAGTCATTGCCCATATGAGTGTGACCTAATAGACATGACACAAAAGGAAGAAGGAACAGGGAGGGAAGAGGAAACAGGCTGTCAATAAATGGGGCCAGACTGCACTCCTTCTGATGGAGTTCTTCCTAGGAGGCAGAAACTCACAGTTGCCTTTCATTGAGCTTTGCATCACACAGCTGGAAGCTGAGGTTGCACAGGTATGTCCATTGCTGTGGATGTCTTCTGGGTCTGAGTGAGAATCTTGTATCGTGTCCAGTTATAATGGAAGCTAAAAGAGAGAACCTCCATATTCAGGTGCAGTATACCTTGGAATAGCAGATGCAAGAGGCAACCCACAGGAATGGAGTCAAGGTAGCCTTTAGGCATCTTTTGAGTGCTCCCTTGAAGGCATTTGGCTGTCCACTGCTGGAAACAGGCTTCAGGGAATTCTGATCCAGCAAAGCCATCCGAAAGCAAGGAACATGCACATACTGAGAGCCAGTGTGGTGTAGTGGTTAAGAGCGGGGGACTGGGACTCAGACAATCTGGGTTTGAGTCCCCGCTCAGCCATGGAGCCAACTGGGTGACTTTGGGCCAGTTACAGACTCTCAGCCCAGCCTACCTCACAGGGTTGTTGTTGTGGGGAGAAGATGGAGGAGGAGAGATGATGTAAGCTGCCTTGAGCCCTTTGTAGGAAAAAGGCAGGATATAAATCCATTAAATAAATAAATAAATAAATAAATTTTCCCAGAAAACCTGCCCCCTGTTGTGACCATCACCTTTACCTGGATCTGTCTTGATCCAGGTATGTTTAACTTGGAGAACGAAGATTAAGGGAAGACCTCACAGCATCTTCCAATATCTGAAAGGATGGGGTAGTGCAAAGCATATTTTCTGTTTCTTCCCAGTGCAGGCTGGCCAATTTTGGCCGAATGGTAGAAGCCAAGGTGTTCGGCAGTGAAGCAGACCTCCTCGGGAGGTTCTGGTTCTCCTTTGCTGGAGCAATGCCATGCCTGCATCCTGCATTGTGGAACCAGCACTGAGCAGGGAGGAGGTCAGACTGGGTGATCTCTGAGGTCCCTTCCATCTCTGTGATGTTATGATTTGCTCCTTCTCTGACAGGATGTGATGTAGCAGAGAGGAGTGCTGCTTTCGTCCTCAGGGCTTTTTTTTCCCACACATGCAAGCATACATGCATACTCTTTTTCCTTAGGGAGAGTGACCCCTGCCCCTTCTTTGGAAAGCCCATCTAGGGAACCAATATGCTTGCTGACATTTGAAGTGGTCCATGCAAAGAATAATGTGGCTTGGATTCTCCCCACCCCCCTAGTACAGAGTTCAGCTTTCCCTAAAAGGGAACGACCAATGCAATGAGGCTGCATTACTCACACGGAGGCGGTGTTAATCCGACCAAGGCAGCAGGCAGAGGCAGGCCTGGCTTCTGCCAGACAGGTTCCTCTTCCTTCACCAGGTCAGGCAGTTTCTGCTTCTGTGGCCAGCCTTTGCAGCCTGTGTGGCTTTATTTTGCATGAGGGAACTTCCCCGTCCTTGCAGCTTCTCTCCCCAAGCCTCATCAAGCACCAAGCCTTCAAAAGTTTCTCCTTGGGGCTGAGCACCTCGCGCAAAGAAATGCAGGTATGAACTTTATCTAGCTCCCATGCTTTTAGGAGAAGTGTCTCTGTTCTCGCTCTTTTGTAGAAAGGAGGAGGGTGGAATTTTGTGTGTTTCATGGAGCTTCATGCTGTGCCGGATTAAAATTTGCCACTGACTCAGTGCTGAGTACCCTGTGCTCCGTGCTCCGGCTCCATTGTTCTATCTCTGTTTAAAGGGGGCTGGAATCCCTTCCTGAGACCATAAAAAAGCTGCTTCATGGTATAAGCTGTGCCTGGGCAGACAGCGGCTTCTCCCTCACCACTACTACTTTCTCAGAGGCAGTTTGTTTGCATCTTTTGAAACAGAATGTTGGGCTAGCTAGACCTCCTTGACTTCAATTTCCTTCCTGATTTTTCAGCCAGAGTGTATGTTGGGGGCTTTAGAAGCATCCCAGAAGCAAAAATTCAATTTGTGGGCCAAAACCTTCTGCTGGGAGTCTTTGGACAGCCCCAGCCCCTTTTCTGACCACCCCAATGTTTGGATGTTTTCCTGCTTTTCCAGCCCAAAGCAATTCTGGTTTGGAGAGAGCTGTTGCAAAGCCGACGGCTTTAGGGGGTAATTTTTCCACAACATTTTGGTGATGGCACTCAAGCCAGGTGGTTGGGAGGAGGATGCTCCTCCCAAGAGCATCAGTCCCTTCATTTTCTATTATTTTTTCCTTAACCCTGATTGGCCAATGAAACCTCCCTGTTTAGGAACAGTTTATCTTTAAGGATGTTCTCTGGGCTAGAGAGGGCAGTGAGGAGATTGTTTTCCACTCTTTGAATCCTGAAGGATCATCACCCAGAGGTGGGCAAACGCTCCTTTTCAGCCACCATGGGAGGCAACATTAGATCCAAGAGGATAACGTTACAGGAGGGTAGAACATTTCACGGAGATATTTTGTTTGCTCTGTTTGTAAGTGTTTTAACTGTGTGTGTATTTTAAACTCTGAAGCTGCAAGTGGTTTTAAGATATCTTTTCAGAGAGGAGGAGGATGGGAGTTTTGCATATTGGGTCAAAATGACTAGCCAGGTGTTACTTGTGGTTTGCCTTTTTCTTTTGGTTAGGCACTACAGCTTTGTAGGACAACTCAAAAACTGTAAAAATGAATAACAATCATAATTTATTTTTATTTTATTTTTCAATTTATATCCTGCCTTTTTCCTACAAAGGGCTCAAGGCAGCGTACATCTCCTCCTCCATCTTCATCATTACAATTAATTAATATTAGCTCCCTCTAACAGAGATTCTCAAACACATCACTTCTTCTGCAGGTTTCCAGCGAGAAAAGATGGAACTGCATCAGATTGTCTGAGATTTAGACATGTCTTTGTGGTCCCTGATTTAAGAGTAAATCTTGGCTTGGAGGCAAAAAAGTTGAGCATCTCTCCTGGTGAATTAGTTGGCCATCCAGTCTGGAGAAGAATTAATTCTTGGGGGCAGGCTCTGAAATTATCTTTTCTCTTTCCTCTGGGTTGTGTCTCTCTCTCTCTCTCTCTCTCTCTCTCTCTCTCTCTCTCTCTCTCTCGACATTTCCGCTTTCTTCCCAGAACTGAAAGATGTACACACAGGATGTGGCTAGCACAGGCCCTGAGTCGATTCTTAGTAATCGGTGGTTGCCGTTCCTCCCTTCTGCCCCTCAGGACATGCTTCGCTTCCCCACTTGAAGCTTCTCTAACAACTACATCTGTGTTGTCAAAACATCTGCAGCGCCTTCTGGCTTTTGCTGATAGTGTTCTAATTGCACTTCTGCTGGGGAACTCTCTTGCAGAAGCAGATGTGGGTGTGGTTCTTCTTTACTGTTTTCAAATGGATTTCTTTTTGCAACTGAGGGATTACAGAAGCAAAGGCAGGCTTTATTCATGAGGACTAGTGCCTTTTACTTTCCCCTGCTTTTACACTGGAATGGGCAGCATGAAAAGAGACCCACTGTTTCAGCTTAGGGAAGCCTGCACACAAGACATGGATCAAAAGAAGGTAACTTTTTCTTTTCTCCCCAACTGCTGCAAGGGAGAAAGCGAGAGAGAGAGAGAGACCGTGAGCATGGATGTTCTGTGTAAATGTTATGACTAACTGGTCAAGTCCTGGATGGGTCATTAATGGGTCAGGAGCCCAGTTGCACAACTCCAGCTGCTGCATCTCCTGATACGGAGTTTCATGCATTAATTCAGAATGACCCTGTGCATGTTGTGGAACTCCTTCCGCAGCTTTCTCATGGAAGGTCCGTGCTGCTTCTGCCAGAGAAGAAGAAAAATAGTTCTCTCTTTGAACCTTAGTCCTTCATTCTATACGCCTCTTTTATATTCTCCTCCTTTGGGACAACTTCTTTTCTCCTTCCAAAATATTTTGGCCATCTAAATGTTTTGGCAAATGATGGGAGGGTGGTGGGAATCCTTGCCCCCTGTTTCTCTCACCTTCCTTTGGATGTCCCATAATCCCCCAAATTCATGCTGCCATACGGAGGATGGTGGGATATGTAGCCCAACCACGTAGGGGAAAGCCAGTTGCTGTTAGGAAAAATATTTTATTTCTGGCCCTTCTTTCCATCCTAAAAGGGTTTTCACCACATTGAACAAACTGTGTGTGCTTTTTGATAGCACATATGAATGTATCTTGTTGCTTTTAATATTTCCAGTCCCTAGATGTGGAATTTGGTTTCCCTTCCCTTGCTCCTTCTGGTCTAGGTTTTCCACCAAAAGTGTTGAACACTTTGCTTCTTTATCACTCACTCCTAGCCCCAGATACAAGTCTTAATTTTATTTTTGCTTCCCTGCAGACCTCAATTAAGCATTAAAGGTGGTCGTGGTAACGGTGGCCGGTAGGGCTGGTGGATCTCCAACTCTTGAGAACGCAGAGGAGAGGACAACATGGCGAACCCTCTGTTCCCCCTGAAGCAAGTCTTCAACAAAGACCGAACCTTCCGCCCCAAGAAGAAATTCGAACCCGGGACGCTGCGCTTCGAGCTTCACAAAAAGGCCCAGGCGTCGCTCAACGCTGGTCTGGATTTGAAGTTGGCCGTTCAGCTGCCGTCTGATGAAGAGCTCAATGACTGGGTTGCTGTGCATGTGGTGGACTTCTTCAACCGCATCAATCTCATCTATGGCACCATCAGCGACTACTGCACGGAAAAGACCTGTCCAATCATGTCCGGGGGGCCGAAGTACGAGTACCGCTGGCAGGATGAGAAGTATCGCAAGCCCACAGCCCTCTCTGCGCCCAAATACATGGACCTGCTCATGGACTGGATCGAGGTGCAAATCAATAACGAAGACCTTTTCCCCACCAATGTCGGTGAGTTGGCTTGATGGGGACTGGGGAAGACACGCTGTGTGAGCTCAGCCCGAGCCACAGTTGCTTCTGGGATGCAGCTGCACAAAGGGCAAAGGCGGTAGAACCGTCGCTTCCCAACCATGGTGGGTGCAAAGCTGCGCTTTACTCTATGCTAGTTGGACGTCCAGTTTAAGAAGGGTGCATCTATTTATTTATTGCAGTTCTGTACCGTCCCACAGCTGACACTATCTAGGTGGCTTACACAGTCCATAAAAAGGGTGATGGAAGTACAATTTTAAAAATCAGAAAAATATTAACACGTTTAAAGCCACTAATAATAAAGGCAAACAATAACACGGAATAACAAAAAGAGGGAAAGAGACTCTGCAGAATATCTGGGTGACTGAGTAAATTGTTTTTAGCCTCAGAGGGCTGTCTTAACCTGGCACAAAAAAGATGACAGATTTAGCATCAGTGTGGGAACTGCTCATGGTGGGCATGTCGTGAGTGGAGCCGGCTGGTGCCGGAGGTCAGACTAGATGGCCTGGGAAGCCCCTTCTGACTCGCTCTGTTTCTATGTTTCTAATTTTGCATTGATGGAGGGCCACCACCAAGAAAGTTCTCCTTTTAGTGGCCACCCTGCACACTTCTCTAAGGACTCAGAGAAAGACCCCAGAGGTTGGGCATTGTGTCCAGGATTGGGGTGGATTCCAAAAGTTTCTTACCTGGACCCCAGTGAAGGCTGGACTCCAGGACTGAAATTTGGCAACAATAGGGGAGAAAAAGTTTCATGGCCAGGTGAGGACTGGAAGCTTGATCGCTTTCCCAACAGTCACACCACAGCACACCAATCTCCAGAGTGAAGGGCAGAGCAGGACAGATTTTGGCTGAACTTGAGCAGTAAGAAGAACTTAAGCGTGAAACCAGTGACCTTGTTGGTTTGTTGGACAAGCTTTCCCTGGAGCATTTGAAGTTGAGGCCAAACGTCTGTTGGGTGCTCTGGATTTTCTGTATTGAGTGAGTTGGTTGGACCCTAAGACACCCACCACATCTGTGATTCAGTCTTATGAGTTCTACTTGGGGAAGGGGGCTGTGGAGGGTTTTTGTGGGGGAGAACTGCATTTGAGCAGCCCCTGCTGTTCTCTGTCCAGGTGCAATCGTAAGTCATAGCACTCAGCTCTCCTGAATCCCCAAGCGTGGCAGAAAATAAGATCGCTAAACTCTCCTTGTGGTGGCTTTTCCCTGTGTTCGATTTTGATGCAGAAGTTGGGGCTTGAGTTCTTTGCGCTTCCATATCCTGGGTTGTTACATCCGGCATGATTGTGATGGATGCAGCTTGCATGAGCATTTGTGCAACTATACATTTTGTGACTAGTTTTCCTTATTCTGCAGGTACTCCATTTCCCAAGAACTTCCTCCAGGCAGTGAAAAAGATCCTCTCTCGTCTCTTCCGAGTCTTTGTCCATGTTTATATCCACCACTTTGACCGCATCATCCAGATGGGCTCCGAAGCCCATGTCAACACATGCTACAAACATTTCTACTATTTTGTGAAGCAGTTCCACCTCATAGACAACAGGGAGCTAGAACCACTGGTGAGTGTGGAGTTGGATCTCCAGACCTTCTCCAAAGATCCAGGACCCCACGGCACCCCTGGGTCTCACCACAGAAAAAAACTCTGTGGGTGTTAGGCAGGGAACCCACATCGCCGCCTCTGAGGGCTGCTTTGCTCTTCCTTTTCCCCTTTGCTGATCTTCTTCTTTTGATCCAGTGTTAATAAAGATCAGACAGAAGTCCATCTGGACTTACATTCTGTTTCCAGCAGGGGACAGCTCCCTTTTGGGCTTCCTGAAGGAGATGAATCCCTGCCTGCCCAGTTTTTGTCCCCACCATCAGAATGGGAAGGGCTTACCTATCCTGGTTCATAACTCTTGATTTGGGGTCTGGAACCTCAGACCCCAGGCCAAATCCAGTTCTTTGTACTCTGCAAAGGGACCAAGTGCTCCCCCTGTTTCTGCTACTGATTTGGAGGTTTCCAGGCTTTTGCGTGGGCTCATTTTTTTAAAAAAAAAATAACCCTGGGCTTAAAAGCTTGGAATTGTTCTCGCAAAATCTCTTTACTAACCATAAGAGCTTCAAGCTACAGAAGCCAGTATTCTGCTTCACTCCCTAGCAGAAGGCATCCCCCAGAATTTCTCCAAAATGGAATTTGTCCATGGGGCTGAAAGGAGTTCAGGAACCGGTGTTGCCGGAAGCATGGCCTGAAGGCAAGAGCCCTGCAAGGGTAGATTGCCACTGAATATGGAAGTTTCATGCACTTCCAAGGACATTTTTATTCTCATTATTACATTGCATGTATATCCTGCCTTTTTTTCCTGTGGTGAGGAATTCAAGGCAGCTCGCGTTGCTCCATTTTATCCTAGCAGCAGCAACCCTGTGAGGTAGATTGGGCTGGCTCAAAGTCATCTAGGGGGTTTCATGGCCAAGTGGGGACTAGAACCCAGATCTCGCTAACCATGCATGGTTCTGACCAATGTCGGTTGGGGTGATTGCCTGGTTTTTGCTTGGTTTCCCACCATCCTAAAAGACTGAAACTCCTGGGAATTGCTTTAAGCTGAAATTGGCTGGGGGTTTTGGCCCACTCCCTGCTTCATATATCCTTGCTTCATTTTGGCCTCCCCTGCACTTTCTTGGAAATGGAATCCAGCATGCCTGGAACAAATTATTTCCCAAAATGCAATCCAACTTACACTTCCTGCAGAGTTGCTTTCTAACACAAACACAATCCGCCTCCCATCCCCGTAACCAAACTTTTCATGATTGTTTTCTTGACGTGCAAATTGAATGAAGAGATAACCAAGCTAATCTTGCTCTCTGGCAGAAGGAGATGACTGCACGGATGTGCCACTGACTTGTGAGGACTCTTCGTGTCACCTCTGAGCCATACCTGGACTGCATCTCTCTCTGTCCTCACTGGAGACTTCACTGATTAAGAAGATTATAGAAATGTGTGTATATAATGTTTAAAAAATGGACTTGTGATGATTTGAAGTTCCTGGTGAAACTGTTCTGTAAAATGTTTTGATTGTTGATTTACTGAGATATGTATATGCATTTATTTTTCAAGGAACTTGGAAAAAATACCCCTGTTAATGGCAAGGTATCCTTCGGAATGATGTTTTTTGGGTTTTGTGGGGGGCGGGGGTTCCCCTACTACTTTCCGTCTCAGGGACTAATGTTTTGGAAGGTGAATATGGACAGTAGTTTCTGTCCCCTGTTGTCCCAGATCCACTGCAACTTGCAAAATATTTGGGCCATGTGTTTTACATCTGATGGTGAAGAAGCACAGGATGGCAAAATCAGAGAGATGTATAAATCCACAGGTTTTCAAAGACTTTTGTTTTGCCCATTTGTTGGACATACTTTTTGCAAAGCAAAAATAAAACTTTCTTGTTGCTTGATCTGTCCTCTTGGCGATTCTAACTCAATGTGGGCAAAGCTTTGGCGTTTCTGTTTATCAGGGTACTGCGTTGACCTGAAGCAAGACCTGGCATCTTGCATCACAGACTCTGCAAGTCACAATATTCAGATCAATGGCCCTATTTTTTGTGTGTCGGTGGGAGGAGGGACTGTGCCTTGCTAAAGGTGGAATTAATGCCTTGGAAAGGAACTTCTGCACTTGTCTAGTTCTGCGCTGCTTGGTGGAGAAACTGAAGAGGAACTTACTTGAGGCATTGCCTTGAACTGCTTCAGTTTCATCATTTTTGCTTCCAGAGAAGTTCTGGCTTGATATGACGGTGCCCATCTTTCGACACACTTGGCCTCTGCCTGTCCTCCTTCCCTGGTCCTTTCACTAAGCAAAACAACCTTAATTGTTGCAGTCTTTGCTCAGAGGTGAGTTGCGTAAACCATTCACTCATTTTTTCGTTTCCTCCTCGTGCACATTTCCAAGTCTACAATTTTCTTTTGCTAGATGTGACAACTGGAGTGGCATGCTATATTCGAAGCGTGGCTGCAGCATAGACTGTATTCATTTATTATTTATTTATTTTATTTGGTATATTTATATGCTAGCCTGAGGGATTTCTGGGCGGCTTACAATAAAAACCTGATCAACTGACATAAAACCATAAAACAAGAAACAGAACAATGAAACCAGGTAGACAAACATATTTCAATTCTATTCCTAATTATGCTTCATATGGATTTTTGTTTCACAGCAGCCAAGCACTGAGTTGACATGTTCCTTGAGCTGTCCACCCCTAACCAAAATCCCTTTCTTACTCACCAAGCAAAGCTGGGATTCTTTGCCCAAGCAAGCATTGCTTGCTAACACTGAACTGCATGGGCCATTTTAATGCCCACTTTCCCAATTTGGAGAGATCCCAAATGGCTTGGGAACAGAATGTCCTAAAGGAACATCTTTTTCCCTACATGCCCTCCTGCCCCTTAAGATCTGAGGCAGAGGCCCTGTTCCGGGAACCCTCCTTGAAGGAAGTTAGGAGAGCGAACACCCAGAGGATGGCCTTCTCTGCGGTGGCACCACGGCTATGGAATGTGCTCCCTATAGAGGCCTGCCTGGAGCCATCATTACATGCTTTTTGGCACCAGGTCCAGAACTTATATTCACCCAATATTTTTATATATTTATGTAGGAGATGTACAGGCCGTCCATCACTGTTGTCTCTGGACGGCTTACAGTATATTATAAAACCTAAACAGAATAAATTTGGCTACACCACGACGGAGTATAAAAATGACATGGTTAAAATAAAATAAATATACAATTAAAATTGATTAGCTTTAAAATATTAGTCAAATACAAAGGTCTTGACCTGGCGCCAAAAAGCATATAATAACGGTGCCAGGCGGACCTCTCTGGGGAGCGCATTCCATAGTCAGGGCGCCACCATAGAGAAGGCCCTCCTCCAGGTATTCTGTCTCCTGACCTCTTCTTAGTTTTAATGTTTAATAGATTTTAATTTATTTTTATTCCAGTTATGGGTTATTTAGTTTGGGGTATTTACATTGATACAGTTGTATTCACTGATTTTGTTGTGAGCCATCCAGAGATGCAGAGTGATTGGACAGCCTAGAAATATCCCAAATAAATAAATATCCCTTGGACCTCCTCACAATCCCTAAATAGTTTGAGGTCATCAGTAAACGTGGCCATATCAGTAGCAACTCCTAACTCTAGATCATTTATCATTTAGAGCAGAGCAGCAGAGGCACAGGCTGGGAGAGAGCGCTGAGAGGCCAGGGAACTGGCGAAGGCAAGGTAGGAGCTGGGCAGCGGAGCAGAGCTCCAGGAGCAGCAGAGAGGAAGGGGGCGGGGCCAGAGGGGCCAGGAGGGAGCAGAGGGGCGGGGCCAGCGGCCTGAGAGGCATATAGGGCCCCGCTCAGCCAGTAACCGCCCTTTGGGCTCGGGCCTCTTGGCGGAGCAGCGGAGGCAGAGGCTGGGGGAGAGGGCTGAGGGTGGCCAGGGACCGGGGAAGGCAAGGCAGGAGCTGGGCGGGGGAACGGGGGGGGG